ACGGATACACATTCAACAGCTTCCATCTTTTGTTTCTCCGTTCAACAACAGTGTTCACTTTGTTATAAAAACATAATGTCTCTGTCGCTATAACGCAGCTGTGTCATTGCCGAAAATCCACACAAAGTACGTGACAAATATTCTCTGCGTTCGCGAACCTTGCCCAGTAATGGAATATGGCTCTGTCAGAATCAGGAACACTACCGGCGCTCTTCCGTGACCGCAACTTGCCTGCCGCAACGCTGCAACGTTTTTGGCAACGTTCCAAGTGGCGAGGCTCGTACGGAGTTGGAAAGCAAAGTTGCGCCGCCTGCCGCGCAGCCTATAGCCCACTAGACTGGCGCATATCTCGCGTTCCGACCTCTCGTGCTTAGGCTTAGTCAGCTCGATGGGGTAATCGAGGGTGGGAGAGAGTCGCCAGATATATATAGCTTGTCCTTGCGATGGCCATTTCATTACTGGGCAAGGTTCGCGACACGCGGAAAATTTCGTCCAGTCTTTTCTGTGATTTCGGGGACGGTATGACACAGCCTCCGGTTACAACAGCAGACATTAGTTTTTATAAAACAAAGTGAACTACTGTTCACCGCGATCCAAATGTCTGCCCTTTTTCTGTGTCCCCGCTAAAATTGTGGACTGGTTCGCTGGCACAATATGAAATGCGTCGCGCCGGCCTACAGCATTCGGCGCACGGAATCCGATAGCTGCCATTGCTGCCATACTGTCGTAGGACGTTCCCGCGGTCCGCCTGTGCGCCTTGCCGCGGAACTGCGCGCAAGATCCTCGCGCTCAGCACTTCGGGTCAAACACCTCCTTTGGCAACGCTCTCTTCTAGTAGTCCCGGTCTCATCTAGGACATCTTCTCTCATCCCTGAGCCAGACATGTGTGGCGCGTGCTCACAGCAGTGTACAGGTGCTAGTGATTCGAGTCACTTCAGTTCATGAACACTCCGCTAGCAGGAGACGAACCCTAATTAAAAAGCCATTGTATCTTTCAATCCCGAACACAACGGAATAAAGAACCCTGCACAACAGGCGAGCTGAGTGAGGTGGTACTTTGAACTTTAAAATAGAAAAAATACTCAGTCCAGTTCAGCAAGTTGAAGTGTGTTTGAACACTTGAATGAAAGAAGGGTTTGAAGTGGCAGAAGTTTATTTTAAAACGGAATTACCAACGAGTTTACTCCCATTAGTAAACACCGTTGCGCAAATTAAACAGCTTGTTGTTTACAGTCGCTATTACGCATAAACTTTCTCATGTCACTATTTTATGGCAGCGATGTTAACACACGGGAGCATCTGTCGCACGCGCGGTCTTGGCGGGCGAACAGAATGAAAGCGGATAGCACGCTGCATGTGCGGAGACTCTTCCATTCAAACGTTCATCAAACAAGTATACGATTATCATGAAGCATAGTGTAACATAAAAAAAAAATTGATGAATCATAACCGAAGCACAGAAAATGTTACACAGATAAACTAATCACCTGTGGAAATATATATATACTCACTAACGTAACTAGAAGTAGACAGAAGACTTGAACTTTCAGCATCAATGAAGTACTGAAAGGAGTGCTGCGCCGATATTCGCTCGACGCGAATCAAGCTCGAATGCTGCCATGGCCAAGCAATGCATTGCAAAACCGCCAGTGCTCTAGACTGGATCCTTGTTCTTCTGTTATCCAGAAAATATGGTGTGTACTTTGAAATAGTGGAAGACCCATCTACTAGAAGTAGTGGCAACGTGGATTTCTGGAAAGAGGGCGCTAGTTCATGACAAAACTTGCGTGCGAATCGGGACCATGTAGATGATACAGATTAATGAGAATTAGAATGTAATGATTATAGGAAAAACCGTTCTGCATCTCTATTAAATTATAAAATCTTATACGGGAAGGAATGTTTTTCGATTATTTACACTTTTTGATCCAAGCGTAATTATAAGCGAATTACCACACCAAATTCAGATGTATGAGTACGCATTACAAAACGCAGTAGACACGCATTTATAGCTCACGCTCATAGACTATATATAATAAATATATATATATATATATATATATATATACATACATAATAGAAACTTTCCTAATGTCGGGGTACCGTACCTATATACGTATACGTAGGTCTATTATTGGCATTTCATATTGAACCAGGTAAATATATCACGTCGTTTTCCCTAGATATAGTTTATAACTTATGTGCTCATTTCCAGAAGCAAATCAGCACGGGTCGGCGGTGGTATATAATATTAATTGCAACTGTTGGAACTCTGAACGCAAACGCATTTATTATAAACGTTTAGCTGCTATAGCGAATGCAATTTCGAGTAAAAACTATATACGTGGGTGGGTGCGTGAATGAGTCCATCTATGTGTGCTTACGTAGTGGCATATCAGCCATATAGGGGGATGAAGAGTTCAACACTGTGCTACTACTGCGCGGCGCATTATACCCCTGGAAAGGAGGCAATAAAACCCCTCGTAAATATAGAATATATAATACTCAATAATATCAGCAACGGTAACAACTAACATCACAGTGGCGTAACGCTTGTTCATTTAGTCTCCGGCCCGGTACTTTTTTAAGTACGTATATAAATTTATATAACCAGGCGTACATGAATTAATTCACTACCGTAATTATAGATATCATAGACTACTGCCCGAGCAGGTGCTGCCCTCTTTCCGTGGACGCGTGCGTATAAGAGTCCCTGATAGCTATAGCATGACAACGCCCATCACCTTGAAGCTTAGGCCTAAGGAAGTTCTTACTATAATATTAGGTCTAGAGGCAACCAAATATTAAATATGAACAGATAAATGTGTGCCGTTGGCATGAGAAAAACCAATACCTGCATCTTAAACGAAAATATCTCGCGCCCTCCACCGGAATTAATAACCAACTGCCTTCATATCAAGGGTCCTTAATGCAGTTTTTTGGCATTGCAACGTAATGCACGGACTCCATACTAAGAGAATACCTAATATAAACATTTAAAAAAAGGACTAATCTGTAGTAGTACGCGTCGATTGGCGGGTACGATCCTGCTTTTATGCCTGGCACAGTAAAGGCACGTTATCCTGATTTTCTGCTATAGTAACCGCTGGCGTGAGAAATGGAATATTGTTATTGGTTGTGATAGATTAGCTTAGGGTGAAGATATAGTAACTGAAAATGCGTTTGGCTACGATTCAATAATCTAGACCAATTCACTATAATTTCTCCTGTTCCTGGCAAAAGACTATTTGGTTACCTTTTTATTTTCCGCGTATAAAGTGGGAAATAATACTCTATATATCGGCTGCCTGTGAAAAATAGAGATTTAAAGAATCGTCGCTAGCGCTAAACAAAATCACAAATATCACTTTTGACCAAATTTAGATACTGTAGATAATATTA